GTGGCAGGGAAAAACCAGCTCATGCTGCTGTCTGGACTCTGACCTGCTGCAAAGCAGGGGCTCCCTGCTCCCACTAAACTAAACAATAAGAAAAACAGGGATGTGACAAGAGGAGTAAACACAGTAACTCTGTTCCTCATCCCACAGAATATAAATACTGTTATGATGCTTGATTGAACAGCTTCACAGAGGAGCAGAAAGAAAACCATGCAGCTGAAGTACCCTTATTCCTCTCCTGCTGGCTCCATGCTCCCTTTTCACAGGGCTGGGCACAGCCCAAGGAGACACACTATGAACTGCTCAATTTTGGGCCCTGTGATCTGCTATTTACAAAGAATAATTTCAGGACAGAAGCACAGCATTACCCCCTACCAATCTTAGTTACACTCCTGCCTATCCAAGATAAAAAACCCAAACCCAAACAAACTGATCTTGGATTCCCAGATGGGTGCAGGAGATCAGCATTTTGTCAGCAGTGGCGGGCCCCAGGCTGCACTGAGACTTGGGTTAGCCAGTGTCCACACATCATCAGCAAGGCATCAGCTCTCGTGGCTGCAGCTGCGTGAGCATCAAAGAAGTGATGACATCTTGTGACCAGAATCCATCTCTTTTGGTAGTTATTACCCAAAACAAAAGTTGATCACTTGCATATTTGATGAGGCAAAACTCTTCTAGTCTTTTATTTCTTTTTGATACTTCAGTCAAAATTTTATATGGATTTTGTTACATTCAACACTTGTTCCAACAATGTGCATTTCCATTAAGGAACAAAAAAATCAGCAGGGCTAAGCCAAAACCCACACACATGCAACATGTAACCTGTTTTGACATACTTTATCCAATTAGGGTTTTTACTATGTACAAAAACTGTGTCTGATGTTATGCAGTTGGGTCTAGATATGGAACTTGAAAAATTGAATTTGTTTTCATACATATCATTTTGTTTTATTTTGGTCTTTGCAAGTCTTTTTCTACTTAACTGGCAGCAGACAGCCCTCAGATTGCATTTTAAATGCATGATTTATATAGGTATAAAAAGATGTGGGATTAAGAAAGCTTTATTGTTATATTTCACAATTCATTTAGCAAAGTAGCAGTACTTAGAAAATTTCACTTGGCAAGCCCATACTGGGGTGGGAGTGAGCCTGTATGTGGAAGAGGGACCTGAGGAATGTTCCTATGATTAATCTGAGGCAGCACAGCCCAGCTATGGGAATTTGCTCTTGGAGGTAGATCTTGCTGTAAACCATTCAAGATTAGATACCAGGCACTGACATATGACAAATGAAACTGCTGAGAGAGTGGCTCATATGAGCTAATGATTTTCAATCTTTAATTAAGCACCTAGCTTGGCACAGTGTCTTAGATTTGAGTAAATAAGTACCTTTAAGGTTCAGGGTCAGAGCTTTGATGGAAATTTTGCCGAGGAAAACTGAGCTGGAGAGACTTTTAGGAAGCAAAATGTTGGTTGCTCTTCATTCAGAGCACTGAGCAAACAAGGCCAGATCTGGCCACCTTTTCCAGGTCCCATGGCACCTCCCTGGCAAGTGGGAAGATGCTCAAGATACCACGCAGAGAGACATTCCTCTGGAGGGCCAGAGCATGCTGGACCGTCAGCAAGGAAGGGCACATCTGGGTGGAAAGAAGGGGAAAAAAATGTTGCTTAGAATCTGCTTAGTTTGGGCCTTGTTTTCCCTGACCTCCAAGTTTTTGGGCACAATTTTATACCCACAGCTGACTGTGGGCACACAAATTATAGCATTCAGGAATTTAACTACCTGATGATTGGGCCTCTTCTCAGTGTTGTAACCCCAAGCATTCCACATTCATGAGAGAAGCCTCCAAAAAAATTAAAAAAACCTGTAAGATTGGCTTCAGGAGCATGAATTAATACTTTTTGAAACTACTGCTTTTTTTGAGTCTGCATGGCTTGCATTTGCAAGTCCTCCCACCATCAAAAATAGTGGGAATCTTTGAAAAAAAACAGCAGTGAAATCAGGTTTCTGGTCACCAAAATGAATCACAAAACTGGACCTTCAGAAATCCAACAGCAAAAGAAAAAAAAAAATCAAGACTTAGGATGAAGTTGCTGGAGGTTGTAATATAGAGGTTGCCAGGCAGTGTCGATAAATAATAATGTAAATACATAATGTATGTAATAATGTATATAGACATCAGCACCTCAACCAAATACACACAGACAAACAATTATTATATAGATAGACAGGCATCCATATATAAATATTAATTTCCAAAGATGTCACCCAAGACACTGAAATGGGTGACATCTCTTTTTCAGGAGTGATGACGCTTTCCAGTCTACCAGGGAAGCACATCAGAGGCTCCTCAGGACAGTACCCACAGTGGTGAGCCCACAGAAGAATAACGAGCTTCATGAACTTCATCTCTTCCCACTCTCTTAGCAAGTTACTGTCTTGGCCTTTTCAACCAAAATGCAGACACCAGAAACACATGAAAAGCATGACAAAATATGTACACTTCACAAGATTTACTGCTCAGGGAGGAGTATGACTCAGGGGTGACAGATCCCATTGGCAACGCTTTCCTGGAAATCCTTGGATCCTAGTGCTCTATGGTGGAGGTGTTGCCTCCCTCCACCTCTTCTCGTCGATTTTGCTGCAGAGACTACAGCTGCAACTGCATATTGAGAAAGCTGTAGGAATGGGTTAGTTTCAACAAAACCAAACATTTTTCAGCAAGCACAGCTTCTAAGCATGTTTATATATATATATCAACAAATATATCTAAATATCAGTAGATTATTTGTATCCAGATTTGTGGAACAGGAGTGAAATCTTATTTGGAGGTATTTGGAAAAATACCTTCTCCATAGGTCAGAAATTAATACAGAGGAGACCCTGGAGACCCCTAAAAGACCCCAGAGTATGTCACAGTGCATCCATCTCCTCACTGCCATTGAAATGCTGCTGCTGCAGCAGAAGGTGGCAAGTTTTCTATCAGTGTGGAAGACAGGAAGGTGATACAGTGCATTCCAGTGTCCATAAAAACCTAGATCATCACAGCATTGCTGATTTTCTTCTTTTAGAGCAGTTGCAACTATAGAGATTTCTTGCCCAGCTCAGTAAACCTTGCTGGGAAGCACCTTTTCTGCCTCTGATCAGATAACTTGACCTTGACCCTGGTAAAGCCTGTGGTTCCAGAAGGTCTAAGGTACGAGCTACTGAGGTCAGATCTCAGCAAGGGCTGCAGTTCCTCCTGAGGGGCACTGGAAGGGAAGCTCCAATCTCTGCTCCCAGTGGCCAGGGACAGGACCCGAGGGAACAGCTGGAGTTGTCAGGGGAGGTTTAGGTTAGGTATCAGGAAAAGGTTCTTCCTCTAGAGGATGGTCAGGCACTGGGGAATGGTCATGGTCCCAAGGCTGCCAGAGCTCCAGAAGCATTTGGACAATGCTCTCAGGGTTGCATAGGGTGGGATTTTGGAGCTGTCCTGGGCTGGACTCTAAGGGTCCCTTCCAACTCAGGGTATTTTATGATTCTTGCATAGGTTGCTCAGCTATCTTATACTTGTTACCGTATATTGTTAAGGGAGAATCAAATCCAAATATTCTCTTTAATATTGAAACCCCAGAAATTTGGGAAAAAACAAACCATACAATTTAAGTGAAACACAAACAACTCAGGAGGGTGCCCTCTATTTGCTGGGATAACCAGATCTGTACAGCTTTTATTTTAAGGCCAGTTTCTGAAGCCGTAAGCATTTTTTACTCCCTCCTACTTCATTATGCCATTGTACTCAGATTTCGGCCCTTTTATCCTTTGCCCGTTTCAGTCATGTTCTGGGATCTGCAGCAAAACCACTACAGGAGATGGTCTGCAGCATCAGTAATGCTTTCAGACAAGCTCGGTAGCTCATATTTCTTTGTTAGCATCCCATTGCAAAGGGGAAAGATCAGCTTGCTTTGTTCTTAGGCCTTGATTTTCATAAGCTAATGATGACTGTGGGTGTAATTATGGTCAGGCTTAAGTGGTAGCGCAAGGGCAGAAAAACAGAGAGGCACTTCCGTGGGGCTGGCTTCCCTCTGCTGCACACGAAGAGGGAAGACATCGCTCGCCTTCCCCCCGGGCACAACCTGGCCTGGGGAAGGAGGGATGTGCCAGTCGTGGCACGGCTTGGCTGCAGCAGAAACGGCAGGAGGACAGTGGAGCATGAGCCTGAGCACCCACCAGTTTGTGTCCCTTCTGACTGTGAATCAAACCCCTCTGGCTGAACCTCCTCTACAACAGCAATACATTTCCTGCTCACTGTTGAGTGGAATTAGTGGAATTATTTTCCCTCTAATGTTGTGTTATCATTGTCCTGGTGGAAAAAAAATGTATTTGTGGCTAATTATTCACTTAACTATTTAAATACTGTAATGAGTGCTGCTTTTAGAGGAGATAGGACATTCTGTGGGTGGAATAGTCCATAAGTTTACCAGGTATATAGGCAAAATCTTTAATTATGAAGTAAATATAGAATCATAAAATGGTTTGGGTTGGAAGTGACCTTAGAGATCATCTAGTTCCAGCTCCCTGCATGTAGGCTTATTCAGTCAATCAGTATATACTTTCTTTTAAAGAATTCTTTAATCATTACTTAAAGCAATTAAATATTTTGAATCTTAAGCCTCTTAGCCCCCAAACCCTTTTTTTTTTTTTCTGTTTTCAAAATGAAAATTATTTGAACCTGTGGCTCTAAAGAAATGTCTTCTAAAATGTAAGTAAATATTCTCTGATATTTGAAAAAAGAATGGAAATGTTTTCCCAAAAAATGACAAAACACTGTATTTCCAACCATGTGCAACTTGAAATAAAATGTTATGAGCATTCTGCTGGGAGGTGAGAAGATTTATAAAAATGCATTTGAAAAATTTCAACCAGCAGTAATGAATATTCATATGAACTGAACAGACTGAGGTTCAGGCAGGCTTGCAATATTGTTTTCCTGCAGTAACAATATGCAAATGTCTGTACACATAGGTTCTCGAAGAGAGAATGAAACTGGAGTGCAAGTGTCATGGAGTTTCAGGTTCCTGTACAACTAAGACCTGCTGGACCACACTTCCTAAATTCAGAGAGATTGGATATATTTTGAAAGAGAAATACAATGCCGCAGTGCAAGTGGAGGTGGTACGAGCCAGTAGACTGAGACAGCCAACCTTCCTGAAGATCAAGCAGCTTAAGAGCTACCAGAAACCCATGGAAACGGATTTAGTGTATATTGAAAAGTCACCCAACTACTGTGAGGAAGATGCTTCCACAGGGAGCATCGGTACCCAGGGACGACTCTGCAACCGCACCTCTCCCAACGCGGACGGGTGCGACATGATGTGCTGCGGGAGAGGCTACAACACACACCAGTACACCAAGGTGTGGCAATGCAATTGCAAATTCCACTGGTGCTGCTTTGTGAAGTGCAACACGTGTAGTGAGCGGACAGAGGTGTTCACCTGCAAATAACAGCGTCACATGCGAACAAACAGAGCAAACCACCATGACTGAGGAAAGTGGAGTACAACAAACAACGACAGCATCATTTTGCACATCTAATCCTCTTGGGGAAAAGAACCCCAGCCAACATCACAACAACCACTCCCCCTCCCACTACTTACACTTCTAAGGATGGTGCATTTTGGCTGGCTGGCTGTTGTAACTGCTTTGGAAACAAGGGCAACAAGATTAAGGTGATGTTGACAACCACATGAAACTTTCTCTCTGTCTCTCTCTCTTTTTTTTTTTTAAAAAAAACCTACAATCTGGGTGTAGTAGAGTTCTTTTAGTATTTTAAATTATACATATCAGAGAAGCTGATTGCATTGCAGCTCCCATGACATTTAAAAGAAAAAGACACTTTCTCCTATTTTACAGCAACAAAACTGTCTAGCCCTGTGCGAACGAAGACTTTTTTTAAGGAAATGAAATCGTCACTGACTAGAACACAGCATTCTCACTGCAAAAACCAAAATTTCTAAGAAAGTAGGTAGAGAGAAAACAACTGTTAGGGAGCAGAATCTATAGCAGAAATACTCCACTATCAGTTTGGAAAAAAAACCCAACAAACAGTCACAAAATTACATCAGCTGCCAGTGACACTGGAAGTCTTTGAATGAACATTAAAAATAATTATTTATGTTTTTAATAGTATCAAAAAATTCTAAGCACTAACGGGTAGCTATGTCTTAACTCTGTACTAAATGTAAACTTATTGGAACTCTGACTTAATGACTTTTGTATTTGGTTCTCCCTAAGTTCTTCAATGCTACTGATCTGTTGTCACTCCACTATTAGAGAGTTCAATTACTGTAGGCTTTAAGCAATTGTCAGAACTGAGCGAAAACATCACATGAAACTTTGGTTACCAATGTTTGATATAGACATTTCCCACTTGCCTCCTGAATAAGAATGACTTTTTTTAGACTCAGGCCTGAGGTGTGGAGCACCTGCTCACAGCTCCTCACAGGGAGTTTTAGGATACAGAGACGTGCTTCAACAAATATCAAAGGTTTTGCTTTGACATTGAATGCACTGGCAGGATCTTCCAGGCCTTGTGTTTTCCCTTTAATGGTTAAAAGTTAATATTTCCAAGACTTTTAAAAAACTTATGCCCAGTATGCACTCAGAAGTCAATAAAAGTCTGGCAGTTGAGCTCTAGGTTGCTGCAACCTCTGAGCTGTCATGGCTCCATGAGCATAAGAAAGCCAAAATTTGGGTTCGTCTGTGTTATCATTATTTTAAGGTTGGCAATAATGTACCCCCTGGTAAGCACATGAATGTTAAAAGAAAGAAGCTCACTTCTTAATAGCACTCAATCCTAATTCCCACACCTTTTCCCTATGAGAGATTTTAAAAACAGCCTCAGATGTTTTACTGCTGTAAAAATCTAGTGTTTTAACCCCAAGAGCCCAGATATGCCCACTTAGAACACAGTCCATTTAACCATGTAATTGTTTTCTTGTCCCACGGGTCCCTGCCTGATTTTCTGAAAACTTGAATTAAAAATTTCCTTACATCTGCATATCTGCATTTTTAGCTTTTGTTTTATTTCATTACTTATATTAAGGGGCTGCAGACAGGCTGCCCACCTGACAGGGAAGCACTTGTCCATCCACATGGTGCTCTTGGGGCAAGGGGTTGGTGGACCTGGAGCTCCACCATCTCCCGTGCTGGACATGTGAATGAGCCAGAATTACCTCTGTAATTTGTGGACCTGTACTATCAAAAGTAACTAATGATTTGGGGACCTTCATTTGAACACTTGTGAGGACCTGACTTTCTGACCCCAAGCACTTACCCTCTGAAAATCAGACCCCTTTGATTACTCCCTCACAGAGCAATGCAAAATTGCTTATTTTTTATGTTGTTGCTGTTGATTTCTAAATACCAGCTTTGGCATGAATGAGTGCAACTACACAGAAGTCAACAGGGGCCCCCAAAATACTAGATTCACTCCATGTAATTGAAAGTCCCTTGGATTCATGGGTATTGTTGTTGAATAATAGTGATAATACTGTACTTTCACTATATTCTTGACAGGAAGCAAATAAAGCTCCCAAACACAGTAATGCACAGTTTTATGGTACTAGATACTGTAAATATATTAGAATAGTATTTGTTAAGTACAATTGAGGAATCCAATTAAGTTATATTATTGTATATCGTTTAAATGTCTATAGAGTATTTTAAATTATTGTGAACTACACTGTGTTTAAAAAAAAAGAAAAAAAATGAAAAAAGGTTATATATTATAAACCAACCACTCCAAAAAGTGGACCAAAGTGACACTTTCTCTCTTCCACACCCCTATTTGAAATAGCTCTGTGTGCTACTGTAAGACCACTGTAACAGTCCCACGACTGGGTGAGCAGTCTGGAATGTAATGTTTCAGAGCATCCTACAGAAGCTTTGCTCATGTGGAGGTGCAGCATTCAAAAAGGTGATGTATGGCACGAAGAAGGGGCTGGCAGTGGGAATGCTTGGACTTTGAAATATGTCCCACAGAAAAGTAGTTTTGGTCAGAAAATACTGTTACCACTAATATACCAAAACACTCCCCAAAATCACGACTTTCAATGAAGGTGTCTGTGAATAGAAGTGGGTTACACACAACTTTTATTTTTGAAAATATAGTTTGATGTCAAAGACTTGTGACAATAGAGGCTGGAACACGACCAGCAACATGTGGTTTAACTATACCTTAGCCATGACAAAGCTCAACATACTTTATGTTATTAAAGAACTTAAGAACAAAGATCAATTTGTTTACTATGTTAATATTTTATGGCAAACAGAAAACAAGAGACTAAATGTGTTTCCATTAAAACTTAATTTTTTCCCCTTCCAATTCTTATTCCTTTCATTTGTTCTTTGTTTAGGGAAAAAAAACAACAAATCCAAACAACAAGGTCTTATGAAAAGACCATTTGTGTACAGGCTTCTCCACATGAGAAATGATAGGCAAATTCCAACTGCTAAGCAGTTTTTGTGTTTCAGGAGAGATAGTAAAGAACATGTCTGTGTGTGGTATCAGTCTCAAGCCGTCTACCTACACCAGTGCTACAGAGAAACCAACATTAGTACAACATACAGCACCAACATTACTGCTACCAGAGACTTAACTGGCTAGAATGAAAAGATAAATTTTTTGGTGGAAGAAAAATAAATATTTTGTGATAGAAATTTGGCATCCAACTCAAAAATTGTGCTTGACCATGAACCTCACGTAACAGGTTAGCAAACAGAGGCCAAATAAGAGCCATTGAAGAGAGGGTTGAAGGCCCTGACTTAGACACTTGTACATGCTCCAGCTTATTCAAGCCAGCTATGGGCACATCTGAAATCCCTACCTGAATTTGACCCTGAAAAATTTGACAGCATTTACCTTGGCTAGAACAGTTACAACCTCTTTGATATTGAGAATAGTGTCTTCCTTACAAAATCTAAAGAAACTGTACGATTTTTGCTGTATTTACCCCTCAGGGAAGATATCCAGCTATAGATAGAACTATAGTGAAATTCTACATGAACTGAGTCCAAAATAGCTTCATTAAATTTAGGTTGGCCTGGGTTTATAGCAGCATAAGTATGCACAGTATTTTACCCACAGATGCCAAAGAAAACACTGCGCCTTCTTTCTAATTACATCATGGGAAACTTGTTAATAGAGCTGCAGGAAGTTTTTATAGCACATGGTAATATTACATTTGTTTCTACGATGACATCTGGAAACTAGATGAAACTTATCAAAAGCTCTGCAAATCTTTTAACAAATCAAAAACATGTTGTAAACAGGTCACCTAAAGTTTCAAACATACTTCCATGGGTTTCTTTCATAGTTGAAGATTAAAACCCCAAAGAGATACTGATGGCAACAAATCAAGACCTTCCCTTACAGCAGCTCTCCTGTGCAAATAGCTCAGTGTAGATTCCACTACTGAAGGCAACATTAGCATTCAGCACAAAGTGCTTTCTATAAAGCTAATTTGCATTCATAGCAATTTTCATAACTGGACAGAATGACTGCACATTTCCTTTCCAAACCTTCAGAGCTTTTGTTGCAATGACAGTTCCCATAGCGAAGGCAATATAGTAAATAGTACAGGAAAGACCCAACATTCTTCTCTCTGAGTGATGGCCACAACAAGATGTGGGATATACACAACAAAAACCATGCCTAAGGAAAAAAAAAATATCAAAGCTGGAAAGGCAGGGGAAGTTGTAAGCAATTTCAGTTTGTGTTACTGATATTGTAAGAAACCTCCTGTGTGCTAAACAAACCGCATTGTAGGCTAAACTTCACCCACAAACTCATTTCCCCTCAAATCCAAAGTCCCTGTCTGCATGTCTACATATTCAGACTTGAACAAGCCTACCCAAGGGTTGGCAAGTATTTCCTTTTTTGTGTTTTATCTGCTATTAGGAAATGGTAGGGGATCGTTTTCTGGCAGGGAACATATATTTGCAAATTTAAAATTTGCATCTCATTTTTTAAATAAAGATTTAGGTTCTCCCCCCCCCCCCCATTCCTGCAGAACAGATATGTTTGCTTTAAAAGATTTGTTCAGTGAAGAATGGCAGTTCACATAATACATGGTAATTTTTTGCAATGTGTTCCATAGAGCACAAAGACAGAGGGAACAGTACTAGTATATACTCAAAATCTTCAGTCATGCTCTTTTATTAAAAGCAATATAGTAATTATTAGCTGTTTGGAGGCCCCAGTGTGAGTCTATTTTGATCATCCTTTTCAGAAGTTAGTGCCATGAAAGACCAAAAAATTGAAATATTCAAGTTTGCTTTGTTTCCAGGTCCTCTTATTCTTGATGCAAACATATCCTCAGATCAATAAAAAACCAGCTTAGTGAGACTTAAACTTGCATAGGTAATAAAAACAATTAAGATGTTTGTTCCATAGGCAACCCCCAACAACTGGCAACCACACTAGACACTGGAAATGTTTGCATTGAAAGC